CTATACACTAGTAATATATACATAGAACTATACATTAGTAAACTATACATTAGAACTATTACACTAGTAATTTACCTATAAACAACTATTACACTAGTAATCTATACATAGTAATATACACTGTAATACTATACAATAGAAATATATCACTAGTAATACTATACATAGAACTATATACTAGTAATACTAACATAGAACTATACACTACTAGTAATACCTATACATAGAACTATACACTAGTAATGACTATACATGTAAAACTATGACATCAGTAATACTATACATAGACTATAATTTATATAGTAATACTAATAATAGAACTTACACTACTATACATGAACTATATACATATTAATACTATACATAGAATATACACTAGTAATTACTATACATAGAAATACACTAGCTTATACCTATCATAACTATTCATAGTAATACTATACACTAGAACTAATATACTAGTAATACTATACATAGAACTAGTATACTAGTAATACTATACATAGATACTAATTACTAGTAATACGATATACTAGAACTATACTAGTATTACGTATACATATAACTATATACTAGTAATACTATACTAGAACTATATACATAGTAATACTATACATATAACTATATACTAGTAGATTACTATCATAGAACTATGATACTAGTAATACTATACATAGAACTATATACAAGTAATACTATTAAATAAAACTAATATATAGTAATACTATACATAGAACTACTATACATAGTAATACTATACAATAGAAACTATAATAACTAATATCGGCAATACAATAGATCCATCGCTCCCTCACGGACGGCTCTTTTCCCGCGCTCTCTCTGGTGGCAGGTACTGCACAGAGAAGCTGATGCTAAACGCGACCCGACAAAGAGATTTAGACTTCAGAGGAAGCTGCTGCAAAACGAGTGTCCGCCGAGATGTATGTGATGGGTGTGGCGATCGTGATAGAGACTTCAAACGCAGCGCCGAGGATAGCGAGGGATATGAGAAGTGATTGGCACTCCTGGCTGTGATATTTCTGGTGATTGTATATGATTCGCCCACCCTGGTTGCCTTATATTCGTCGAGTATATTGCATCAGCATGCGATCGAAGTGCTTTGACGTTGCATGGCGGCCACTTTCCAATCATGCCTACGCCGCACCAGTGCTTTTATATTTTAATATGAGACCATTGCGACCACCAAATCGCCCGGATCTCAGGCAACTAGGGCATTTCCTGCCTCACGGCTAGAATGGTTTACTACGATAGAGTTGGGCACTTTTATATCGAAAATAACACGCTGTTGCGCCACTGCGCCCGCCCTTCTGTTGCATTTTTGCATTTCCGTAATCAGAATAAGCCCCGCTTTTCGTTGGATGGGTATGAATGGAGGCGGTCAGCGACTTGACCGTGTTACTGACGGTGTAGGTGTATTGTGCGAAACTGTTTGCTGTCCGTAAATTAATGAAAGGTGCCGGCCAGGCATTCGCCGAGTGGAAAAATAAGGCCAATTTTTACCGCTTTCGGGAAGTGAACGAGTGCGTCATTCATTAACATTTAAAGTTTTCTTAAAATTAATAATCCGAAAATCCCTAACCGCGCTACTCCGACGATCTGCAGCCGGATATGCGCGCGAGCGCTCAAACGCCGCTCGCGCGCACTTTAGCATTTCGCTGCTTCTACCAACCGCAAGTCATACGCCGGTCCTTTAGGGTTTAGGGGAAAGCCGGCTTTTCGCTCTCATCGGCCAGTTCTGCGCATGTGCACGAGGGATCGCACTACCCAGTAGGTAGAGACGGAGCTAGAATAAGCTCCCAATTCTTTGTTCGCTACTAGGCGTTGCTTGTTGCTGTTAATACGGAGTTTTTGTTAGACATGTGTAACAATGTATAGCGCTTATGACCGTACGTTGGACTGGCTGAGTTTAGAGAGATGCGATATATGGCGGGCAACGAGGCTGTAAGGATAGGTTTGGGTTTGGCATTTTTCGGGTTCGCGTGTTGCTCGGCACGGTACATTCCACCAACCTACGAACTAACTTCTATTATACACAGTAATGTTACAATATTACTAGGTAATTAAGTTTACTACTACTAGTGTAGTATTACTAAGGCTTACATGCACTACTAAGTACTATAAGTAGAGTTACTACCAGGACGGACAGGAGCTAATGGGTAATAGTCAATAAGCTATTACTAATTACTTACTACTACTGTTAGCTTCATATACACTTATATTACTACTTATATCAAGCTAACACTATTACCTACACAGAAATACAAGTTTGGGCAGGGCCCTCATTTGGCCTAAGCAGTATTAACGATTTATAAATATCCTCACATTCATGGTATATACAATGGTGAAGTACTAACTATGACACTGCAGGGCACTTTGAAGCGTTTCATTAATAACTATTTAATGCCTTAAGCTAAATTCATCGTAAAATTATTATACTATTGGTAAGGGGCATACCAAATTCTTAAGATTCGGTATAGTATTTGACAGGTCATCTACTCATCTTTTCAAAGATGATAAGGCATTGACTCCAATCAGAGGTGCTCGAAAGAGGCTTATATATGGACTAGCGAATTCAGCATATCGCTACGCAAGGTGCGATTGTGTAGACATCTGATAGTGTGAACTAATAAAGCTAATAGTCGAGCATAGGTGTGAAGTGTACAAAATCAGGCAGTGCATTAAATAAGTAGCACTAGTAAGGGGCTGTGCCAATCATAGTTCATACAATACATTACATGCTGTTAAATATACATGTGGGGATAGAGTGGGCTATAGGACGGCATGGCTGCAGCAGGTCATTATTCAATGATACAATATACATCAATTAATGATACTTGCAAGAGTGCCGCTCATACAATCTAGTATATTTATGCCAACTTCATGTGTAATATACGCGTGGAGCTTGCTCAGCCACTATTACTGCCAACGTTATGGTCGACAACAATCAAACTGTAATTATACATCTGGGGAAGCGCGTTGATCCCATAGATGTCAATTAGGTACAATACATTCCTTAATATAATTTAAGCGCCCAACAAATTCGATGCGCTCACTATCATGACAAGAGCTAGCTACGAGTAGGATGATTACTCTACCTATACACTTCAGATTACTGTAACAGCCTATTACATAGTTGTTCCATATAACTGCGTCTGATCAATTATACAACTTAGTACACTCAAAGGTTTTTACTTAGGAATGTTAAGGCGTGAATGTTCACAGAATTCTCTACTAACACTTTAGTTACTTTCATTTTACTGATACGGTTAAGGACTCTCGTGCTTCCTCGATAGGATCACAGCGACTGCTAATTCATGGTGAATTATAAAAACTGGAAAAGCATGTCCTATTACATCTTACAAGATATTAACTATAATACATTTTCATCATATTATAACAAATACATTTGTGAAAGCTGGGCGGCCCATATT